TGTTTCCTTAAGACAGATTCGTCCTCTTCACAGTGCTATCAGAATGTAAACGTCTATCTCTCAGGATAAAATGATCGACAACGAATAGTAACAGCACTGCAAACTCTTCACACAACAAACACACTTTGTGTTTATACTCTTTCTTACAAAAATAAATGTAGCAAAATGCAGAGATTAAAAGACACAGTGAAGAAAGAAAATTAAGTGAAAATCCAAATGAAGGACTTGTATATTTATAGGTGCACTAGTGCTTTTCAGATTTGATTCCAATAGGTAACAAACCTATTTGGTTTGAATTTTGAATAGATATTGAATCTGTTTGGGTTTGAGGAAAAAACCGGATCAAATTTTAGAAAAAATAAAATTTAAATGTTTTTTGCTCAAAAAGATAAGCATTGGGCCAGACAAGCCCAACCCAACCTCGCACCACGCGCCCAAGCCCAAGCGCAGCCCGTTCGATCAAACGAACGACGATGGTGGAGAGCACGCGGGTACCCCTTGGGACCCTCCCCAAGTTGTAAACCCAAGGCTTATAATCCCACACAGAGTTGGTCTACCAAACCAATGTGGGACAAATCTTAACCCATTCTTTATGGAAACTTTACCAACATATTATTTCCATGGAGCTCATTTTGGCATTAATTTCCCAATCACCCGATAATGGTTTTGAGCAATTAAATATACGACGTGAATCATTACGCGGCAAAGAACATGTTGCCACATGGACCCGCCAACTTTGGTGCGAACATATTGCCACATGGACCCGCCAACTTTGGTGCATGGGTCCCATCTAAAAATTTGACCAAAGTTTAAAAAAATCGATTTTTTTTTTCCCCAAACCATTTCTTACAATGGGTACATCTCGAGACGAAAGAATAGGTGATTCATAGACAACAAGAAACTCACTCACTGTCAAGAAGAGTTTGGAGGACCTACAAAAGAGTTTCATGAAAATGTTCTGTATTTATTTTACTGTGTACAATTTGATTGAACTTGATGAAGATTAAGATTGCAAAATTGCATAATTGAATGTTTGAATCTGAACCTTTTGTTTAAAATTCAATTGGAAAATTTGGCTTGAAAGTATTTTGACTTGTACAATTGTTTGATTATTCAATTGCTTAATTGGGGTATCCACTTCAAGTTGGTGCATAGTTCGATACATCTTTGCTCGGTTTTTTTGAATAAAGGCAAGTTTGTACTAAAATGTTCATTGTTATTGGCTACCATTTTGGTTTTGAAAATGGTGCTTCAACATGGTCGAGAGAGAAATTGGGTTTTATTATGAAATTCATTAACTTTTTAGCTTGGGGCTGTGCATTATTGTATGAACTTTCAGTATGCTTGTGAAATTCATAAGACTTTTAATATTCATACCATCCATTAAACTGGTTTTGCATAAGAATTGCAAGCTTTAATATCTCTTGGTTTAACTAGTCATAATTCTAAACCTAGACAACTGTCCTTGTAAAAATCACCATCTTCAACGTTGAGCTAACCTCCATAGACAAACCAGTTCGAAAATCCAAATAGCAAGCCATTGACCAAAGCGGTAGTATATATTCTTGTGTTTCCGGCAACGGTGAACGACGGTGACGATGGTGACCATCATCATAGTGAAGTGAACGATAAAAACAAGTTAGAACTTCTTTTAGTGACGATGGTGTAGTGAACCACGATAGTTTTGAATGATTTCAGTTATCACCAAAACAATACCATATTCTTGTGTTTCCGACATAAGAGATCTTAGAAATGGGTCAAGAGGTTTCAGCCATGGAGATCTTAACCAAGAGTGAAGGAAAGTCAGATGCTTTCTGCAGAGAGGGAATGATGGTAGAAGGAAAAAGTGGGTTTCATAGGAAAAGGTGAAAATAAAGGAGAAGAGAGAGAAATTTTAATGGAAATGAATGCTCTGTTGTTTTCTTTCTTCTAGCCAACTATTGACATGACTATTTCTTGGCTTTCAACTTTGTTGTGACCAAGTGATTGGCGAAGGGTACCACGTACTGGTTGCCAGCGTAGTACCCTATCCGTACTAAAAAATTTCTCTTTTGGAGCATTATACTTTTGTACTTATTAGACCATGAATTGGTAAATGTAAATATAATGCATCAAAGTTCATTTCATTCGATTTAAGCAGTTATTCTAATAAATGAAGATGATAAACAAACTTAATTATATATGCTTTTGCTATTTATATTAAACATATTATATGTGTTGTGCAATAAGGTCTTTAATAGTTAATGGTTAATCCTATTTGAGTTAGAGGGGATTTGGGATCGTAACACAAACAATCACTAGAGCCACATTGCACACCACTACAATTCCCATGCCACCACTAGTGACAGTGAAGCTACAACCATAACCCTCTACCACAATGCCACTACTGTTTGTACACTATTATTGTCACCACCATTCACATACTACCATTGAAGCACTACCATTCATAAACAGTTGTTTCTCACACAATACTGCCATTGAACAATGATTGCTCTTTACAAGCCACCACTCTCACCTCTACCGTCACTCAAGTACAATCACGCCATGATAGCGTCATTACCATTCATGCCACACTACCGCTCACTATCTAATTAATCCTTTTATCTTTCTTTAATCTTCTCTTTCCAACCCAACCTCGCACCACGCGCCCAAGCCCAAGCGCAGCCCGTTCAAACTTAAACAACAAATTGGTGGAAGACTACAAAGAGAAAGTTATAGTAGCCAAGAAGTAGGATTGAAAGAAAAAAATGAGGGTTGCCGTACAATGGTAGTGAAGATGGAGAACGGAAGAGAAAAGAGATAGGACAAGGGTAATAAAGAGTATTAGAGACAAATATAAGAAGCAAGAGTAGGTGTTGAACTCCATGCTCCCGCCTTACTTTTATAGGCAAAATTTACAAGAGACGAGACAAAAATCACAAGAGAAAAGACAAAAATAATATGTTTATATATATACATTTACATTCATCTACCCTTCTTTTTACTTATCTTACTATTTTTTCTTTCTTTCTTTTTTTATAAACTTTTTATTGTTAAAATAATTTATATAATATATATTACGCATATTTGCTTGTCGGATTTTACACCAACAAGTATTGCTTATTTATTTTATTATATTTATATAATATTATTAATACATTATAAATTATATTAAAATATAATATATACAATAATTTATTTACAAACACTAAAATGTATAAAAAGAAAGGATTTATTACACTTTATACTCTTAAACTATTGTCAGATTGTCTAATTAGTTCCTAAATTATCGATTGAATTTATTAAATCCCTAAAGTATCTAATTCAAATATATTTAATCCCTAAAAAGATTACAAAAATAAAACATAAGTCCATAAATATCATAAATTAATAAAAGACCTTCTCTAGTTAAGTTTTTAGTTCAAAAAAATCTTAAAATTTTATTTTGTCTTTGAAAAGTGGACGTTAGTTCCTATGTTATCTAGTCTTATATGCTAGACGTCGTTTAGAATTTATAATTGATTGTTTTTAAGTTTTTTACTAAATTCTTTTCATAAATTAATTAATATATTATTTTGTTTTATTATTATTTGAAGTGAAGTATTATTATTTAAATTATTTAATTCTACTTATTCAGTATATCTAATACTCATATAATTTTATTGGAAAGAATAAGAAACCATACTCTAATACTAATTTAAACACATAACAAAATAAAACAATTTTTAAAGACAAAATAAAAATTTAAGATTTTTCTATAATAAAATCTTAATTAGGTAAAGCCTTTTAGTAATTTATAATGCCTATGGACTTTTATTTTATTTTTGTAATATTTTCAAAAACTAAATAGGTTTGAATTAAATAGTTTAGAGATTTAATAAATTCAATTGATAGTTTAAGGACTAAGTAAGATAATTTGGCAACAGTTTGGGGGTAGAGAGTGTAATTAACCTAAAAAACAAATAATATTATACAAAACTATAAAAGAATACAAATAAGGGCGCTGTTTAAGTGTGCAACCCCCTTATGGTTGCACACCATATGCAACCCAATTGTTAGCCGTTAGATTGCAATAATTGATCAAGACCATTGAATTGTTTAATCGTGAAAAAGTTAAAACTGGGGCAACCGGTTAATGCTTGTATTTGCATGATTGCATCCCACTCACTCTCTGTATTTCGTCTTTATCTCTCTCTGTTCTCCTCTGTGTGTAAGGTTGAGTCAGTGTAACCCTTGATATCCATTAACAGCGAAAAGCCCTTGCTGGGTTGGTTCCATTGACGAAGCTCTGTAGGGAACAGTATAACGGGCGATTTCCAACAACAACGGAACTGCAAGGCTGTGTTGGTTCCACTGCTGAAGTGAAGCCCTTCTCTCCAACTAGATATGAGGTATGGAGTTGTCTCCCTCTCTCTCTCTGGCCTCTTCACTTCAGCTATTTTTCCTCAATTAAACCCCCATCCTAACTTCAACTGCTCTACGCTTCACTCAAATGGAAACCCCTTCATTGGCAACTAACCTTTCTCTTTCTCAAGCGAGTGTTTGTGTTTGCACAAACAACTAAACCGTGTGAAAATGTCATGTTTGTGTTTGTGTTAACATTTTTCGGTCATCAATTAATTGTTTGTACTAATGTCATGTACAGTATGGCCCCAACAGAAGTTAAAAGGGAAGGTGATGATTATGACATTCCAAATGAAGAAGATGACATTTGTTTGATGAATGAAAGTCGGGCGGAACCTTATCATGGTTGCGAAGCTGGTCCGAGCAATGGAGAAGCAACCAACATGAACGTTGAAGATGGCGGAGCCGATGTGAAAAAAGAAATGGTTGACGATGCTCACCGCAATGACATGGTTGGTGATGTTGAACGTGCTATTCTGGAATAGAAATTTGATTCAGTCGAAGATGAAGAAGCTTTCTACAATGCGTATGCTAAAGCTAAGGGATTTAGTATACGAAAATCCAGATTTAACACAAATAAAAAGGGAAAGGTTGTTAGTAGGCTATGGTTGTGTTGAATGGAAGGTCAGAGATTACCAAAATACTTGGACCGTGTTGCTGAGAAGAGTAGAGCTCCCAAGGCACAAACAAGAGTAGGTTACAAAGCCCAATTTCGCATACGGTACGATGCAGATGCTGGTGAAGAGGGAAAGTACGTTGTGACACACTTCGTCGCAGACCACAACCATGAATTGGCGGAACAACACTGTGCGATGTATCTGAGGTCACATCGCAGTTTAAACAGTGCTAACAAAGCTCAAGCAATGGCTATGCGCAACGTCAATGTGAAGACTAGCCAAATCATGGACTTTATGGTAAATCAATCCGGGTCTTATGAGAATGTTGGTTTCATCCGTACGGATCTGCACAATCATATTCAAGCCGAACGTAGAGCAAAAGTTGAGGATAGTGATGCGCAGGGTGCGTTGGTTTACCTATGTGCAAAACTTAATGTTGATGCACATTTTTTTTACAAGTATGATGTGTGTAACGATAACAAGTTACAGAATCTATTCTGGGTAGATTCAAAATCGCGGGCCGACTATGCAAAGTTTGGTGATGTGTTGATATTTGACTCAACTTACAGAACCAATGCATACAAGAAACCTTTTGTCATGTTGGCTGGTGTGACTAGCCACTTTAGGACCACGATATTTGCATGTGTTTTGCTAGCTAATGAGACAATTGATACATACACATGGGTTTTAGAAACATTTATGGAGGCGATGGGCAATAAAGAACCTGTGTTCGTACTGACAGATGGGGATAAGGCGATGCGAGAGGCAATCAGAAGAGTATTTCAAGACACAAGACATCGATTATGTAATTGGCATCTTGGGAAAAATATTGTTTCAAATGTTCACAAAAGTGGCTTTACACATGCTTTCAAGCAGTGCATGGACATGGAAACGGATGAGACAAAGTTTGAGCATGGCTGGACGACAATGATCGAAAAATTTGGACTTCAAACCAACAGTTGGGTGTTGGAGACATATGAGAAGCGTCATATGTGGGCTGAGGCATATATGCGTGGACATTTCTTTGTTGGGATGAAGAGCACTCAGCACTCGGAGAGTATGGATGCTTATTTCAATCCCTTCCTCCAACACAAATTGAAGCTATATGAATTTGTTGGGCACTATGATCGGGCTCTTGCAAGGATAAGGTATAACGAGGCTGGAGATGATGTTGAAACAAATAACACTTTTCCGGTATTGATTACTCTATTGCGAGATATAGAGAGACATGTAGCAGAGCTATTCACCCGAAATATATTTAGAATGTTCCGTGATGAAATCTTAGAAGATGGGAAGTTGAATGTCAAGGACGTGTTCCCTTTGCCGGATGGTCAGAAATACTACTATATTCATAAGTACAAAGTGAAGGATAGATCATGGATAGTAACACACAGTCTAGTGGATGCTGCAATGAGATGTTCTTACATGAAGTTTGAGTCGTTGGGGCTACCTTGCTGTCACATGATATGTGTTATGAAAGCTGAAAATTTAACGCAAATTCCCCTAACTTGTGTGCCGCATAGATGGACAAGGGCTGCAAGCAAGGATGGCCAGCAATGGCCTTAACCCTGAATTGATAGCACTACAACATAGACGGCCTGGTATGGGATATTGAGTTCTTTCTACAATGAAATGTGTTTCTATGCCTCGCAATCAACGGAAGGTTTCAAAGAGGCTAGGGATGCATGTCTTCCGATGAAGAGCCGGATGAAGGGGTTATATGAGAGGAATTTGAACGGTGGGAATGGAGACAAAGGGAAACATTCATTCCGTCGACAATTTGGAGTAGAAGATCCTGATGTTGTGAAGACAAAAGGGAACCCAGGACGGGCCTCGTCCAACTGTCGAAGACCAAGAAAATGTGGGAATTGCAAATGCATTGGGCACACAAAGCGAACGTGTCCTAAGGTTCGGTTTAGCCGAACAGTGGGTACTAACTCAGATGCAGATACACCCCACATAACTGAGCGTGAGTACAATGTGGAGTCATTGCCCGTTCGCTGCAAAACTGGGTTGGTGGATCCAAGTACACCGCACATTAAGCAACGACGACTATTTTTCGATGCTTCTCCTAATTCCAAGCAGCCTCTGGGCCAATACGGTAGTGTTGAAGCAGCAGTGTGCAAAAATGATTCGACCATAATTGATGAGATGAATCAGGTAATTGTATAATTTGTATGATTTACTTATTCCCTTAATTTATTAGGTAGACAGTACTAGCTATTGAAAACACATGTAAATAATGTATGTAGTTTTTATTTTGCACGGATTGTTGTACGTAACATATAAATAATTGATTACGTATAATACCAGGAAATGGCACAACGTTACTTATGTACAAGGCGATGAGTTGTAAATTTCCCATATTGTTTAGAGTGATGTTGTCATTTGTGTTTGCAATGACTTGTCATTTTGAAAACTAATTGAAGGTGAGATATATATGGGTTGTCTGTATATTGTTTTGGGTGGGAAATTGGCTTATATCTGTATTCCAAGATTCCTATTGCGGGTTGCTTGTTTCTGTTCCATATTTGGTTGGATCTAACTGAAGGGTTTTTTGCGGTGTGGTTTATCAACTAACGATGTGTTTGGCTTCGTATTGATTTGTTATGACTTGTTTCGGTAAATTAGTATTATATTTCGAGAAAAATATGAATTTGGTCTATGTAGGTTTTCAAAATTACATCCCAGCACATGCATTTTGTATATAATCCAAGTGGCAGTTAATTTTGGGTGTTACCTGGAGAAAGTAACCCAACAAAATCGTTACTTTATCTCCATGCCGATTGCTATATGAATTACGAGTTACGAACAGGAGTTGTGAAATTATTTCATGTTAACTATGAAAATGATGGGTTTATTGTTAGTAAAATTATGGTGGGCCTATATCTATAGTAACGAAGCAGTAATTTAAAGTTGACAAGTTAAAGAAGAAAATCAAGCAATTGTGGTATAGGTTCAAATGCCTGAAAAAGATGAAGACTTCTTTCGATGAACTGACGGTAACAAAGTAGAAAGTAACAAAATACAAAGTAGAAAGTAGAAAGTAAGTTGTTGTGTTGTTTGTAACAAAGTAGAAAGTAGAAGGGAAAAAACTACTCAGAAGTTACAATGTAGAAAGTAAGTTGTTGTGTTGTTGTTCATGTCCTCTCTTTCTGCAAACATTCTGCCACTTATAGCTATTATTTCCCACGACCCCATGATCTGCCGATTCTGCAACTGCTTCTGTGCAACTTCTGTAACTGCAAACAAAGTAGAAAGTAACAAAATACAAAGTAGAAAGTAGAAAGTAAGTTGTTGTGTTGTTTGTAACAAAGTAGAAAGTAGAAGGGAAAAAACTACTCAGAAGTTACAATGTAGAAAGTAAGTTGTTGTGTTGTTGTTCATGTCTTCTCTTTCTATAAACATTCTGCCACTTATAGCTATTATTTCCCACGACCCCATGATCTGCCGATTCTGCAACTGCTTCTGTGCAATTTTTGTAACTGCACAGTCATTTCCGTGTCTTGAAACCACATAAAACCTTCACTTATACCTGTCGAAGTGCATATAATTGAAGTTGCCACCTCTGCCCAAGTCCTTTTAGCCTTTCCTCAACAGATACAAACTTCCAATTTGCGAATGTTTCCTCTTCGAGGGTGGCCACTAAATCCATGATCAGTGCCAATAACTGCTCCACCATGTAAGTCAGGTGACATGCAAGATTCAATGTTAGTTGATAACCCTTGTCTTTAGGTGGACTTGTCATGTGTCCTCAATTGAATGGGGCACTTGTTGGCAGGATGTGGGAAAAATAGGTAAAAAGAGGAATTTTTAAAAAATAACCAATCATAATTTATCTGAAAATATGAGTGAACTTTAAAAGAGAAAAAAAATAGTTTCCATTTTTATGATTATAAACCCGAACTGTATATTTTGTTTTCAATATAAATAAGTTGTGTATTGTGGTCACGTAAATGGAGGACAACAATTGTGTTTATGTTATGACAGTGCAGAAAAACGGGTATTTCAAATATTAACAAGTTTACCAACATTAAATTTATTGATTAAATTACATGGAAAATTCAATATTTGGCAGGGTTTGAAGGTTCAAAGGCAGGGGGCAGTTACATTGACTAGCCTAGTGTTGTGGTTCAGTGGCCCAGTTTGCAAGGATTGTGGTTGTGTTTAGTGGACAATGTTCTATCGATTATTGTGTCATAATGATGAGGGACATGCGCCACAATGGTGAAAAGGAAAGTCGACAGGAAAGACTCAATATTTGGTAGAGTTTGAAGATTCGAAGTGAGGGGGGCAATTACAGTGGTAGTTATGGTGTAGAAGTGTAAGTTCATGCAATGATGGGCCACAAAAATAGTATAGGGATATGAAAACCCAAGTGTACTAAACCTCCACTTCTATCTATCGATCTCCATTTTCTTCAGTTTATTTCATGGCAACCAACCGTTTGGAACTTCTGTCGACAGAGCAAGGCTCTTGCTTTGTCTCATGCTTCTTCTTGAAAGTGCCCACCAACTCCATGACTGGTGCTAAAAACTGCCCCCATCACTTCTACGTGACCCACATACAGACAACCCACTTTCAACAGCTGGACATTCCTTCAGACTAGGCCACGTGTCCTCCATTAAGTGGACCATCTGTCAACAAAGACTGGCAAAACTTGGTGCAAACAATGGCACCCTTGTTCAAGTTATATATCATATGATTTAACCTTCACCAAACTGGCCAGTTGGGCCCAATTTGTACTTAACACAGGATTTATTCCTTTGAGCCCAAGAGATAAGTCGAATAGCAAATTTCTTAATACGGGCCCAAAACAAACATAAACTACAGCCCAATATGAAAGCATTTAAATATATTGGCCCCATCATAAGCTATAAAAGACCCACATTTTCAACTTTAAACCACTTCAACTTTATTTCCCTCTGATTCGAACTCCTCAGAGTACACTCCTTCTCAAGCATTGCCGTTCAAAACCACAGCACCACAAAACCCCCAGCCACTTCAACTTCATTTCCCTCTTATTCGAACTCCTCAAAGTGGACTCCTTCTTCTCAAGCATTGTCGTTCAAAACCACAGCACAACAAAACCCTAAGCCATGGCGCCCCAAAAATCTCAACCATCTCCATCTGAGGACAACAATGAAGACCTACTCCGCTTCCTAGACCCTATCAGAGCACGTATTGCTCCTTTAAAATTAGGTATTACCCTATTGCCCAGCACAAGCTCTGTCGCTAAGGCTACGCTATGCCCTACCTTCACGTCTTTCTTCCCAGACGAGCTAGCTCCATACTATCCCCTTGGTAATGATGAGAACCTTCTTCTCAACCAACCTAGACTTAAGTGGACTAACTGGAATGTCAGCAAAAACCCACTTAAATTGTGGAGGTCACCAAACTCTGTTTGGCGAAGCTGAGCCAGGAGAATTGAAGGTCATGACGCTGAAGTATGAAAGCACCAGGGCATTAGTAAAACAATTAGACTGTCGACTAAAAATTATGACATGGATAAAGGGCTAATTGTTGCTGTTGCATGCTTTTGGTCTCAATCTTGTAACTCCTTACTCCTCAATTTTGGTATGATTTCCCCTACCATCTTAGATGTAACTCACTTGACTGGTCTCCCAATCTTGGCCAATCCAATTCATGCTCTCCTTGAGCCTCCAAAAATGACCTTTACTTTAAACACTGACATGTGCTATACAGATTTCGCCCAAAAATACAAAGGCAAGCCTGGTTCCCCTATCCAGGACAAAGAAAGAACTGTTTTTTACTTACTTTGGCTTTGTGAGTTTCTTTTTATGTCCTTGGGTACAAGATCACGAAGGAATACCTCCCCCTTGCCTTGTGTATGCAAGATGGCCAACTTATAGCTTTAGCCCCTTATCTTCTTGCCACCCTTTACAAGGCCCTATTTTCTTTTGTTGACAAGAAGATTTCTGGCAACTGTGGTGGCCCCTTATGGCTCTTCCAGGCCTAGTTGTATGCCTATTTCCCTGAGGCACGACCCCCACCAGCTAATACCTTGAAACCAGTTTTCCACTCCTATGCTGAGCAATTGCTCACTTATAGCAGCCAACCCATCCTCACTTTTAGAAATCATCTTACTATGTTTTACAACCTTCCTTCGAAGAGACCTTCCAACTTGTACATGCCATTTCAAAACTTTTAATTCTCCTCCAGTAGACTTCGCTTCCCTTTACAGATCGTTGTGATTTACACAATGACCAAGTCCAAGAACAAAATGAGACTTGGAGACACATTCTCACCTCTAGACATGTCTTGGTTGGCTATTCCATATCCTCCACCAAGTTGTCCAACTGCAATTTTGAGACATATTGTCCCAATCAATGGTCCAGGCAATTAGGTCTTTCCCAGGGTATTCCTTATCCTCATTTCCACCCAACCATCCATGAGGAGATTAGGTCCAGAATCTATTTCAAAGATCCTAGGCAAGCTAAATCCATTCTGACAGAGAACACCAAACATTTTCAGACATGCGGAACGAAACCAAATTCAAACATCACAAACTGAACTTCGACAAGGCGCGTAGTTTTACTACAAAA